GGGCGGGCCGCAGGACTCACCGCAAGAGTTCGCAGAAAAGCGGGCAGCGGGCGGGTTGCACGGCGGGATCATTCAGCATCGCATCGGGAAATCCGATCGAATCGTGTTGTGTGTGTGGTCTGTGCGTCCCCCTGATCTCAGTCACCCTCTGCACAACCGCCGAGGCAAAAATGAGTGTGTGTGCGTGCGTGTGTGCGAGAGTGTGATTGTGAGTGGCAATGAGAGTGTGAGTGTGAGCGGGAGTGTGAGTGTGAGTGTGAGTTTGAATGTGAGTGTGAGCGTGCGTGAGTGCGTGAGTGCGTGAGTGCGTGGGTGCGTGGGTGCGTGAGTGCGTGAGTGCGTGAGTGCGTGACTGCGTGACTGCGTGAGTGCGTGAGTGCGTGATTGCGTGAGCGCGTGAGGGCGTGAGGGCGTGAGTGTGTGAATGTGCGTGAGTGTGTGAGTGTGAGTGTGAACGCGTGAGCGCGCGAGCGCGCGAGCGCGCGAGCGCGTGAGCGCGTGAGCGCGTGAGCGTGTGAGCGCGTGTGCGCGTGAGCGTGTGAGCGCGTGTGCGTGTGAGCGTGTTTGCGTGTGTGCGTGTGTGCGTATGTGCATGTGTGTGCGTCTGTGCGTGTGCGCGTGTGTGCGTATGTGTGTCTGTGTGTGCGTGTGTGCGTGTGTGCGTGTGTGCGTGTGTGCGTGTGTGCATGTGCGCGTGTGTGCGTGTGCGCGTGTGCGCGTGTGCGCGTGTGCGCGTGTGCGCGGGTGCGCGTGTGCGCGGGTGCGCGGGTGCGCGGGTGCGCGGGTGCGCGGGTGCGCGTGTGCGCGTGCGCGCGTGCGCGTGTGCGCATGTGCGCGTGTGCGTGTGCGCGTGTGCGCGTGTGCCCGCGTGTGCGTGTGTGCGTGTGTGTGCGCGTGTGCGCGTGTGCGCGTGTGCGTGTGCGCGCGTCTGCGCGACTGCGCGTCTGCGCGTCTACGCGTGTGCGCGTGTGCGCGCGTGCGCGTGTGAGGTGTGCGCGTGTGCGCGCGTGCGCGTATAAGCGTGTGCGCGTGTGCGCGTGTGCGCGTGTGCGCGTGTGTGCGTGTGCGTGTGCGTGTGAGTGCGCGTGTGCGTGTGCGTGCGCGTGTGCGTGTGCGTGTGAGTGCGCGTGTGCGTGTGCGTGCGCGTGTGCGCGTGTGCGTGTTTGCGCGTGTGCGCGTGTGCGCTTGCTCGTATCCTCGTGAGCTCGTGTGCGTGTGCGTGTGCGTGTGCGTGCGCGTGCGCGTGTGCGTGTACGTGTACGTGTGCGTGTGCGTGCGCGCGTGCGTGTGCGCGTACGCGTGCGCGTGCGCGTGCGCGTGCACGTGCGCGTGCTCGTGTGCGTGGGCGTACACCCGCGTGCGCGTGCGTGTGCGTGTGCGCGTGTCACGTGCGCGTGTGCGTGCGCGTGTGCGTGTGTGCGTGTGCGTGTGCGTGTGCGTGTGCACGTGTGCGTGTGCGTGTGCGTGTGCGTGTGCGTGTGCGTGTGCGTGTGCGTGTGCGTGTGCGTGTGCGTGTGCGCGTGTGCGTGTGCGCGTGCGTGTGCGTGTGCGTGTGCGTGTGCGTGTGCGTGTGCGTGTGCGTGTGCGTGTGCGTGTGCGTGTGCGTGTGCGTGTGCGTGTGCGCGTGCGCGCGTGCGCGTGCGCGTGCGCGTGCGCGTGCGCGTGCGCGTGCGCGTGCGCGTGCGCGTGCGCGTGCGCGTGCGCGTGCGCGTGCGCGTGCGCGTGCGTGTGCGTGTGCGTGTGCGTGTGCGTGTGCGTGTGCGTGTGCGTGTGCGTGTGCGTGTGCGTGTGCGTGTGCGTGTGCGTGTGTGCGTGTGCGTGTGCGTGTGCGGTGCGCGTGCGTGTGTGCGTGTGCGTGTGCGTGTGCGCGTGTGCGTGTGCGTGTGCGTGTGCGTGTGCGCGCGTGTGCGCGCGTGCGCGTGCGCGTGTGCGCGTGTGCGCACGCGTGCGCGTGCGCGGGCGCGTGCGCGTGTGCGTGTGCGTGTGCGTGTGCGTGCGCGTGTGCATGTGCGTGTGCATGTGCGTGTGCGTGTGCGTGCGCGTGTGAGCGTGTGTGTGCGTGTGCGCGTGCGCGTGTGCGTGTGCGTGTGCGTGTGCGTGCGTGCGCTTGCGCATGTGCGTGTGTGTGTGTGTGTGTGTGTGTGTCGGATCGGGCTGCATCGGCACAGAGTCGAAATCGAATCGCCCCGAATCGGCCACGCCAGGAAGCACCACAAAACACCGTGCAAACATCGGGCCGCATCGGATCGCAGGAGCAGGGGCATCGCTTCGCATCGGGCCGACCAGAATCGATATGGATCGGATCGATCGGATTAAAATGGACCCTGCAGGGCGGGTCGCGGGGACACAATAAAACCAACAATGACGATCATCTTCAGAACGCTTACACTTTCGCCTGCGTCTCACCCAACATGTGCCCGAAAACCTTGATTCCCGTCCTTTTCTAAACCCCTGTCACGGGGTCTCACCCGTTGCGGTCAAGTCATTGACGTGAACCCTAGAACAAGAAACAGGGAGGAGGGAACAGCGAGGGAGGAGGAAGGAAGGGAGGAAGGGAAAAGGAAGAGAGATCAGGGAAGAACGAGTGGGAAGGATGAAGTAGGAAAGAATAAAAGGCGAAGAGGGAGCCCAGAGAGCCCGAACCAAAAAACTGAAGCCGAGATCGGAGGAAAGAGCGCCGACATTGAAAAAAGCTTACCAGGACCAGGAGGGTCCACGGCAACCCAGCCTCTGGACCGCCTCCTCGGGTCCATCGTGCCCAGTGACCCCAGGCCGTGACCAGCCGCGGCGACGAGAACCTCCAGAAGCACCAAGCAACCTCCGGCTCGAAGAGACGTCCACATCGTCGTCGACGGCGCCGCAGGCAGCATGGCGCGTCGCTCCACGATGCTCCACGGCATCCGAAGGTCTCCAGAGGGCCAAGGATGCCCCCGGAGGTCCCCGGAAGTCCCCAACTCCACGCCGTTGCCGACATCGCCTCCGGGTGGGGCTCCCCGTGGGGCTACGGCACGCGCGCGGGGACCCCGCCGAAGTGGGCTGGGGGCGGGGGGGGCCTCGTGCCTCTGCGCCCCAGTGAGGCGGTAGGTGGGGCGACCGCGCGAAGTTGAGCAGGGACCGACCGTCCCAGCATTTCTGTAGCCAGTTCTTAGAACCCAAAAATGCTCTAAGAACAAAAACAATATTCTCAGAACATAAGCGCGATGTGATAAAGCAAAACAGACTCCGCCAGAAATGTTCTAAGAACACTTCGTGGAAACCACGAAAGGTTCTTAGAACATTGCTCGGTAGGGCTATAGGCGAGCCAAGACGCTTCGCCACTGCTTGACGAAGGGCACGCGGGGGGGGGGGGGGGCGGGGGAGCCCCGCGCGCGCCTGCGCCCACGGCAACCGCACGCGGAGGCCCCGGCAGGGCCACGGGAGGCGCCAGGGGTTGCGCCGCCGAGGGCCGAGGGGGCCCCGTGCGCCTGCGCCGGCCGAGACCGCAGGCGGAGCTCCCTGCGGGCCACCGAGACTGAAGAGGCCCTGGGGACACAAATAAGTAAACACAAATAGCAGGATTTCCCATACTGTTCCATATTTTCTGGGTTTGTGTCTCCCACCCCCCACTTCCCATATTTTCCTACATTTTCTGTGGAATCGACGATGAATTGTGTCTGTGTGTTTGTTCCCCTCCTGAGAAGCGTAGGATTAGGTCGGGCCTGCCCCCCTACAGGGGGGTTTTGGAAGAAGAATGGAGGAAATAGTCAAAATATACTCCACACATGCTCCAGAAGAGCCTGAAAGGCATCCCCGGACTACTCTCGAAACTACTCCTGGATCTTCCTCCTCCAGAGGGACAGGCCCGACTTGCACGTGGGGGTGGTGCGCCAGAGGGGGCGGGGGGGACCCCATGCGCCCGCGCCCGCCGAGACCGCGGGTGGAGCCTCCAACATGAGGCCACGAAGCGCGCGACAGGTGCGCCGCAGCGGGCGGGGGGACCCCGTGCGCCCGCTCGGACCGCAGGCGGGGCGCGAGCCTGCTTTTCAAAAAGGTACTGCAGCCGGTGGCGAGGCGAGAGCGTCGGAGCGGATGCAGGGTGCCCAGCAATAGCAGTGCGTCAAGACTTGTTGAGTGCAAGAGGGACTAGGGAAGCCTCAGGGCCTGTGGGAAGCTGGAGTAAAAGCGGAGGCTGCATCGCGCGGGCGCGTCGTTGTCAACAGGGGGGGCGTCTGCGACGCCGAGGCGGGAGCGCCGGTCCTGAATAACAAAACATCGAAGGGGAGCGCCCGTGTTGTTGGAGAGCCGGCTTCCGGGGCCGAGCAAGAGCCCGTCCCGAGTAGAAGGAAAGGAGGAAGAATCGAGCGGGAGAGTTGTTGCTGTTGTTGCTGCTGCTGTTGTTGGTGGTGGTGGTGGTGTGATTGTTGGTATTATTGTTGCTGCTGGGGGGGGCGGTTCGGCGCAACCCCCAAACGCCTGAGCGTGAGCCCAGTTTTCAAAGGAGATGCAGCCGGCGCCGAGGCGAGAACGCCAGAGCGGATGTAGGATGTCCAACAGTAGCAACTGATTAATGATGAAGGTTCAATCATTATGAGACTGTTCGCTCTTTTCTGTTCGCCTGCCATTCAACGCGTAGATTCCAAGCCCTCGATGCCCGCCATCTTCGTCTTCGATCGTACCCACCTTGGGGATAAATCTTTCCTACCTGCCGCGTGTAATGGCGCATCCATTGAAAGAGGGGAAGGAATAAAGGACGGAAGAGACAAGGGGGAGGGAGAATGATGGTGCACGAGAGAGACTTGCAGGAGAAGGTTTAGAAGCAGGAGTGCAAGGGGCAGAACCAGACGGGCAGGTCGGACGAGCGGGTCCCAACGGGCAAGTCAGGCGGGCGGGCCCAGACGGCTGGGTCGAGCGGGCGTGTCGCTGAAGCGTTAATCCAACATGACTCGCGGGGAAAGTATCGAGCAGCATCGCGATTCCCAAGGGCATCGTGAGGAAATCCAAAGCGAGAGCGTGATTTCAGAGTCTTGGGGGCACGGCGCCACGATTCCTTAAATTATAAGGAGTTCCCGCGCGAGAGCGTCCATTTGACAAAAATTCAGGAAGTATCAGGCGGGAGCCGTTGTTGTTGTAAACCGGGGAACAGGGGCACAGTTTGAGGACCAATGCTCTCACGAAGAGAAAAGCGGGTACGAGCCCCGGAAGGAGCACTTAATTGAAAAACACAGGAGGAGCACAGGAGTGGGGATCAGCAGTGCCCATTCTTTGAACATGAGAATTCAAAAATCACTTCGCTCCGATCTGCTCGCGCGCCATGCAACACGTAACTCCCAAACCCTCGGTAACCGCCCTCTACGTCTTCGATCGTGCCCTCTGGAGGGTATGTATATCTTCCTTACCTGGTACGTGTACGTGTGTGTAGCGCAGCCCCTTAAACAGGGAAGAGAGGACGGATGTAAGGGGGAGGGAGAAGGATGGAGCACAAGAGAGAGAGAGAGATTAGCAGGAAAGAGGCTAGGAGCAGAAAACAAATGGCAGAACCGGACGGGCAGATCGGGCGGGTAGACCCTAACGGGCGGGTCGGGAAGGCATGCCCAGGCGGCCAGGTCCAGCAGGCGGGCTGCTGAAGCGTGAGTCCTACATGAATCGCGAGGAAGTCTCGAGCGATAGCACAATTCCCAAGAAAATCGTGCGAAAGGCCAAAAGCGAGCGTGATTCCTGAGTGTCGAGGGCGCGGCGCCTGAATAAGCTGTGAAGACGTCCCACGCGAGAGCGCATTCATGTGAGAAAGTCCCGCGGTGGAGCGTCGATTTGACATAACTTGTGAGGACGTATCAGGCGGGAGCCGCTGCTGTTGCAAACCGGGGGCCAGGGGCTTAGATGTTCTTAAAAACGCTAGGGGCGTCTTTTGTCGTTCTCAACATCGACGTGTTCTTCCCGTTTTCGTTCTCGTTTTCTTTCCGTTTTGCAAATGTGGGCAACCGTTTTCTGTCAGTTTCAAGATCCGTCTCTTATTTGTTTTCAATGTCCGCTTTTTCCGTTTTTAGACCTGGAACCGGGGTGCGCCTTGCCGCGCCGGTTTTATTTGTTTTCGTTACGTTTTCAATGCGTTTTCAGCTTCCCCACAAACGCTGGTCACGTTTGGGCCATTTCGCCCTCCGTGTTGGCACTCCGTTTTCTTCTCGTTTTTAGCTCGAGCACGACGTTTTCAATTCGTTTTGGGCTACCGTTTTGTTTCCGTTTTCGTTGGTCGCAACCCCAAAATTGGAAAACGGAGGAAAAAAGAAACAACAACAAAAAACAAAAACAACAACAACAAAAAACGCCCCCAGCGCTTAAGAACAACTAAGGCCAGGGGCACAGTTTGAGGACCGAGACGCTCCCTCGTAGAGAGCCGAGTGCGAGCCCCGAGAGGAGCACTCTAATCGAAGAGGGGAGATCAACCACAGTTATTCCTTAGAAATGAACATTCATTGACTAGAGGCCTCCTGGATGGGATCCGAGCGAATGGGGTCGGAGGATCGCGCCGCATCGGCGATGCATCGACGATGCATCGACGATGCCTCGGCGACGTCGGCGGTGCATCGGCGACGCTGGTGCATCGGCAACGCCGGCGTGGAGAAGATCGAGCTCCACATCGAGCCGCATCGCCGATGCATCGGCGATGCGGCGCGATCCTCCGACCCCATCTACAATCGACCCGTATCGTAATGATGCACGGTAAGGATGCAAGGGTCTTGGAGGGCCATGCTACCGCTTTTCGAACGAGAACGGCCAGCGAAGGTCGCCAAGGACGGGCCGAAGGGGCAAGGAGGAAAGGGCACTCCTGGGAAGGATGCCCGTCACTATCGGACCCGGCGAAAGGGAGGGATAGCAAAGGGGGGGATTGAGAATCAGCTCGCGTAGCTGATTTTCCTTGCGCCTCCCGGCGCCCGACGCGGCCATGCATCGAGAAATGGGCCCCTCGGTGGGACCGAAACCCGCTGCATGCAGCAAACTTCGTAACCCCCCTTTCCAAATTCCCCCCTTTCGTCCGGCCCGACACTACCGTGCGGGTGGACCGCGCTCGCACCCCAGCTGGACAAGCCCAGAGATAGGGGGGCACATGCGAACCCTACCCCTACCCCCCATGATTTCAAAGGGGGAGGGTGGGTTTCACTTCGCTCGGGAGCTCCCGAGTGAGGTGAACCCCACCCTGCCCCTCAGAAATCGTGGGGGGCAGGGGTAGGGTTCGCATGTGGCACCCTAAGATAAGCCAAAAAAGGGCGGGGCGGCCTCGTGCGACCTGCGGTTCGAGAGCGCGGGCGGCGCGTCCGCGGGCGCGCGCAGATCCCAGCCGAGCAGCAGGCCGTCGTCCGCGCCGGTGAGCACGAGGTGCGGCCGGGCGCCAGAGACCTCCGCACGCGGCCGCGCGGCGGGGCTCCCGGCGAGCGCAGATGGGAGGGCGAGGAGCCAGCAGGGGAGGAGGCGAGGAGGAGGAGGGGGAGGAGGAGGAGGAGTTTTTTGCAATGCGCGGCAGCCAGGCGCACACCCTATTCGCGAGAGCAAAAAGGCCGGGCGACAGGCTGGCAAACAAAACCTGCGGGCTAAACACCCGCCGAGGGCCACTCGCGGACCCCAGGCCTGGGAGGGAGGCCCTTGCGCAGCCGCATCAGGGCAGTCAGCTGCGCCTTAGTCAGCGCGAGGGGTCCGTACCTCGCCGCCTCGCACTCCTCCAGAAGAAGCGAGGGCCTGGAGTCCGCGTAGCGCCCGCAGGTGCTGCAGAACGTGATGGCGCCCTTGCGCCACAAAAAGTGAGAGGCATGCGGCACATGTCCAGCGATGCCAGTGCCAGGAGGCAGACGAGATGGGGGATCAGGCATCCCCAGAGACCGAAAGAGTTGCTCGTCGATGGGCGGCAGCCCCTCGTACGAGCGCGGCAGCCTGACGCAGACCCGAGGCGCGGGAGAAGTGTCCTCCGCCTCTGGCTCTGCCGCAGGCTCGAGAGACAACACACCGTCCCCCCCCCCGTCCTCGACCGCCCCGTCCCCTTCCCTCAGCTGGCCTCGCTGCTGCAGCTCCACGCGGCAGGGAGGCGAGCAAGGCGACGGCCGCAGGGCCGAGCACGATGAACGCAGGAGGTGGAGGGCGCGGCTCTGAGTGCGCCTGACCGATCGGCCACAGCTCTTGCAGCACCAGCCGAAAGCGGTCGGCACAAAGGCATGCTGGGAACGAGCCGCGAAGCCAGAAAGCAGCTCCTCCCTCCTCTGAGCCCTAGAAACCTTCGGTTTGATAACCTCACGGCCAGGGCTCTTGGGGGCGGAGGCGGCGGCAGCACAGAGCGTAGCATTGCGGAGCAGGATGGCCTCGGCCTGCTCCACCAAGTCCAAAGCGCGACGCGCTACATCAGGATCAAGCTGGGCCTCCTCAGACCGCTCCTCGGCGAGCCCGTCGGCCACTGCATTGAGAAAGATAGCCTCGGGCAGCACAGTGTGGCCTAGACGCGCAAACTTCGCGGGGTCCTCAGCTAGATGCGAGGGCACGTGCAGGAGCGCGAAGCGGCCCACGCGGACGTCAAGCAGCGAAAAAAGATCGTGCCAGAGGTCCGCGTGCTCGAGCTTGTAGCAGTGGCGGCGTCCGCGTGCTATCGCATTCACGTGATTCACGTGGTCGGAATACAGCTTGAAATCGGCAGCAGGGTGGACGGCCCTGACGCACTCCACAATGGCCAGGAGCTCAGCACGAGGCACCGTTTGCACAGGGCCGTCCACCAAGCCCGTGCAGCCAGAATCCCAGTCCAGACCCTGGCCGTCGCCAAGGCGGGCAAAGCTCCACGCCACGCGCCGTAGCAAGGGCTGAGATGACCAGGCTCCACCTGCACCGTCGGTGGCGTAGATCCCCCCTGGCAGCGCCCCGACGCCGCATCGCAGCCACCGATGGCCACGCTCGTCGGGGGGAGGCGGGATGTTCAGCCAGGCAAGGGGCACAAGCCCGCGGCACCAGAAGACAGGGGCGCTGTCGATCTCCTCCAACGCCTGACTGCGAAGATGGTTGGAGGAGACCACGGCCTCTGGAGGGGGAGGCACACCGACCGAGAGCGCCCAGTCCCTCTCCATGAAGTTGCACATGCATTCCCAGAAACGATGACGGCTGGATTCACGGGAGCGATGGCAGCGCTGGCACAGGTCGTCCGTGCGGTAGCCTGCCTGGTGACGACGCTCCTCCGTCCAGTATCCTCCGCAGGCGACTAGGCGAGCGAGGCTGGCAAGACTGTGCTGGGACTCCTTCTCCAGCCGTTCCGCCAGTGCAGGCACATGCTGCCACCAAACGCCACCCTCCGCCCCACCCCCGTCAAGATGCTTGGCCGCCTGTCGCCAAGCCGCATTCTCAGCGGTCTGCTCCAGAGCCGCGAGGAGGCTGGTGACGGGGGCGACGGAGGTGACGAAGAGCTCCCACTCCTGCCCGTCTGGCTCGACCAACTTGAACAGGGACGGGCACTGCCAGCCAGCTGCAATGACAGAGGCCTGAAAGGCTGAGAGCGGGCCGCGCACGAAGTTCCAGCCACGCGCCACCCGCTTCAGGGACGCGTCCCATCCTCGCTGGACCTTCGCAGCGAGGCCGTCCTCTCCAAGGACTCGAGAGTAAAAAGCTTCTGCGATGTGCCGCAGGTACCAGATGGGCGGGTCGCGCCGCGCCCCAAAACTGATGCGAATGGCCACAGTAGCGCACGTGCCGCGCTGAGGGCACTTGCTGGCGAGCCTCGCCTGACCACGCAGCTGCTTCAGCATGGTCGGCGCCAGCCCGTGCACCTCGGGCGCCCACACCGACTTCGGCAGGGCATTGGAGACGAAGAGGCGCGAGGCTCGCGGCGCTGACCTGACCAGACCCGAGATCTTGAGGGCGGCGCGCCTGCCCTTCATGAAACGCTTCTTGCGCACCTTCACAGAACGCGAGGCACCGAAAGATGTGTCGTGGCCGAGGTCGCGGGCAACACGAACAGTCCTGAGGCCACCAGCCCCGACCTCGGCCGCTGACGCCCACGCGG